ACCTCATACATGCGAAGCATGCGCTCTACCACTGAGCTACATCCCCATTGATTGGTTCATACGTAGAGATATGTAGTATTAAAATAATTTGTACAGCAGTGGCGTATTTAGTCTAAATACAATGCATTTATTCATTCATCCAGTGCTCTTTAAATAAATGTGATGTGGTTTAGTACATTTATTGATACAGGTTAATTAGTCTCATTGAGTCACGAGGACTCATTTTCAAGAGAGACCAACCACAGATAAGGTAAAGGCAAAGCATATAAAATAAAAGTAGTGATATAAAACAAAATCAAAACAAGCTACATTATAAAACAAGGTAAAATACTAAAAACAGGAACATGTCGTGATTTTTCCATTGAACTTAACATCTGCTTAAAATCCCTTATCAAAGTCGAGAGCTTCAGGTTTTTTTGCAAGGTTGCAGGAGCGGAGTAAGAAAAGGCCTTTTTACTGATTACAGTTCACACTGAGGGGATACTGCAGGTAATGATGTCTTGGTTCACACGCTGTAGCTGCACTGACGACGTAACATGTAGGAGAGTTACAACCAGTTATGAATCTTAGCATGCCGTGGTCGACAGCGTCCAACATCTGCAAGGTGCTGGCAGGGGCATTCATGTATAATGTTACCATAATCAGTGGCTGGTAGGAAAGTAGCAGATAGGTGTTTCCTAGCATTCAGAATTAAGATAGATCTATTTCTTAAAAATATATTTAAATTTCAGTTTCTTTATTAAGTTTACGACATGCGGCTGACGTGCATCGACCAAGATTCCCAAGTATTTATAAGACTTGACATAGGATAGATTCATAGATAAGAAGAGGAAGTACTGCTAGTACGGTACCAACTTTCTGTTTGAAAACAACATCCTTAGGTTTTATCAGCATTTAGCACCAATTTGAGACAGAACAAGTCTGACTGAATTATGTCAAATGCACACTGTTAAAGCTGGACAACTGTTTTAGCTCAACAATAAACTGTATTGTCGGCATAGAAATGCAAGGATGCGTCAGGAATGTTCTGACCTATATAGATTGTAAAGCGAGTGTGTCCTAAGACTGAGCCTTGTGGTACACCATTATTGACAGTTAAATAACTAGAAGAAAAGCCAATATGTTGAACACATTGCTTTCGGCCTGAGAGATAGAACTCATAGCAGATTAACAGGCTTTCTTAACATATTAATTGGGTTAGTGTGTCTGACTGTAAAAATGTAATTTAAGTCCACTGTTTTCATACAGTGTATTGTTGTCCAGTTTAATTTATTAATACATTTTTGCAATCTACTTATGCATTCTTCACACTTTTACATATTTTGTAACTTTTATACTATAATAAAGTCCAATGCATTTAATCACTTCGTAATTTAGCTTTACATATTTTCACAAGTAACAACAGAAATACAGTTCAGTACAATGAAATTTGTTTATTTTTATTATTATTTTTTAAGTACAAAAGATTAAACATTAAGCAACACAAAAATCTTGCCACCATCTACAACATTAGCAGAAATTTTACATATACATTCAAATGCGTATTTATAACAGTATCATTGAACCGTCACTTGCTTTCTTCTGATTCTTCAACACCAAGTAGCATCTGGATCGGTAGCACATCACTGATTTGTTTAGTTTTTAAACACTGACTTGAATACTTTTACCCTGCCTTTCGTGTTGACATCAACATATCTCATCAACCATTTTGGATTACTTAAAATTTTGGTCTCCATATGTCATTTCCTTTGGTATTTCACTGATTTTGCTCATGTTCTTACAGCGCAGTCACATCGCTGCTATGACCCTCACCTCCTTCGTCAGACCAGATGACGCTCCCAGAAAACTGCTTCAGGTCTATCTTCATTCCACTTATTTCTGCTTTACCCTGCTCTTTTTCCTGTTGCTCCTGCTTCTCCTCCATGTTTTCCTCCATCTCATCACTTTCATCTGGTTCACCCATTAGCCTGTTCTGCTCCCCTGCTTCGGAGCTATCCGAACATGACTTATTGTCGTCCTCTTCTTCCTTACTGCTGCCACTCTGGTCCTCATTATCCTCATCTTCGTCATCTTCTCCATTCGAGTCATCCCCCTGTTGGCTACCAGTAGCCTGTCCTTCTTCAATACTCTGCAACTCTTCTCCTTCATCGCTGTGAGGCCACAACTGGATTCCAAGACGTGTTTCCACAGCCGTTACTGCTCCTCTCACCTGGTCCCTGACTCCTCCTTCCTTGTAGATTATGCGTCGGATGGTATATTCGCCATCTGCCTCCCTGTTTAACTTCTTGTACAGGAAAAGTAGCAACAATAACAGGCATATTAAGCTGCAAGCGAGGATCAGCACAGTTTGGTTGCCCATTCCTGAGGAGAGAAGAGGTTTAGAGTTAGTATGGCCATGGAAAATGAGATCTAAATGAGTTGTTAATTTCTGTAGGAGTGTAAATTGAGGTAATTATTAAGTCAGAGTCAGAGTTTCTTTATTGTCATTCGCACCTCATGTGGTACATGTGGTGGAGCGAAATTATGTACACAAGGTCCCAGTATTAAATACTTTGGATAAATAAAACAGAATTATGGATGCATATAATCGGCAGTTCTCTAGATATGAGAACTTGTCCAAACACTGACAGACAATGAAAGTGATAAAAGGGTCTCCTGTGAGTAACCTTTCATCGACCTTTTTATGGATTTATAAGGAGGTTGCTAATTCTTAAAAGGGGTCGCTTTGCTAACCTAATCATTGGAGAAAAAGCTAGTAGCTTTTTAAAACAAAAACAAACTTTGAGACATTATTAGCATGTACTTTGTACATCAGCTTAACACAAAGTACATTTTCACCAATTTAATTGGAGGAAAACAGTGGATTTCTAAGATTATCCATTATTTTTTTAATTATAATTGAGACTAGCATAAACATGTTAGCTGACTACTGCACATATATTTTTAAACTAATATTTTTTCTCTGTATATTTTTTCCTTAACATATTCAAACAAAAACGTTGAAATATCAATGCCATGCCACTAGGTGGCAAAAGCCTCTAACATTAATGATATATGAAAACACAGAAATAATTCTTAGTTATTCTAAAGATGCTCCCAAAACTCTTTCATAATAACTCCTTTACATGTTTCTGTCAGATATCACCCACTTCAGCATACGACTAAAGTTTGACAGCAACAGGATCAGGATTAAGTGAAATCTCCTATGTCAATGTTTCCGAAAGTTTCCATATCTCCTGTCCACATGGAGAAACAGAGCTCTTCAAAATGCATACTTTAAAAGTAAAAAAAAAAAAAAAAATTCCAGTTTTTAAAAATGTCTGAAGTGGTGCAGACTGCACCTTAATCCACCCTGTTCAAAGTTCTCCTCTGGTGACTGATGAGCTAAAACAAGTTTCCAGTTAGCGTAGCTTAGTTAAAAACAGTTAGCAAAATGTGCTAGGCTGCTAACGTCAAATTTAAGCCCATAGCAAATAACCTTTTTTTTTTAATTATTATATTAGCTTTAGAGCTTTTATCTGGCAGATTTAGTTACTTTCAAACATATTTTTTTCCTATAGGTAAGCTGAGTGACCGCTTTAGTTAGCTTACATAAATTGTATCAATGCTTTTAATAACATTATGGCTTTTTATTTCTTTGCGCCTTTCAAGACACCCAAGGGCACTTTACGAAATTATAAACATTGCAAAAGAAAAGCACAATAAAAAGCACATAATAAAAAGTAAAAACTAACATAAATTACTAAGAAATTAGAGTGAAAAGGTTAACTTGAACAGATGAGAATTGAGTTGTGATTTGAAGGTCAGAAGAGAGTCAGTATTGCAGATGTCTGGAGGAAAAGAATTCCAGAGTTGGGGAGCAGCAGAGTGAGGAAAAACTCTGTTTCCCATGGTGTTCAGGAGAACAAAAGAAAAGTGGATAGAAGAGGAAGAACAGAAAAAGCCAAGTAATGAAAAGAAGTGGCCCCAGGATAAAACCTTGGGGCACACCTGAAGCGAAGGAAGAGAAGTGGGATCTGAACAGTTTGAGTTGGGTGAACTGAGTGTGGCCAGAGTGATATGACTGAAACCAAGCAAGGGGTGTGTCGTTGATGCCAATGGATGAAAGTCTATGAAGAAGGGTGTAGTGGGTGAAGGTATCAAAGGCAGCACTCAGATCAAGGAGGATGAGGAGGGAAAGCAAATCACAATCTGCTGCCATGAGAAAAGCATTGGTGATTCTCAGGAGAGCACATTCTGTACTATGATGTGGGCAGAAACCAGACTGGAATTATTCATGAAGACAGTTTTTGGTTCAGCTGGAATGGAGTTGAGGGATGACAGTTTTATCAAGAACTTTAGAGATGAAGGGAAGGCTAGAGATGGGGCAGAGATTGTTGAAGTTATCAGGATCAGGTTGTTTTTTAGAACAGGTGCGACTGCAGTTTTGAAAAGAGCTGCAACAATTCCAGCAGAGAGAAATATGCACCAATTTCTAATTAATTTAGACAGTGTCTAATGTCTAAAGAATAAATAAATAAAAAAAATCAGTGAGTCAGAGGTAACTGAATTCTTCCCTGCAACACAAACCATTCCGAGTGCTTTCCCGCTTCAAACCCCACACTGTGTCTAACCTGATTTTACGAACTACTCCACCTCTGCAGAAGACTTCCTGTCGAGCGCAAAAATATTCAAATGGTTGTGTGCCTGAACAGCGAGCAGGGTATCGCAGTCCTAAACTCCTGGTACTATCAAAGAAGCTGGGAACTTGTCATCTGAAAACCCATTGACGTTTTCACATTCACAACCTAGAACCAAAAAAAAAAAAAAAAAGGCAGGAAAGTAAGGAGTTATTTAACATTGATGCATGCAGCTATATTGCCTTTGTGATTATTATTTAAACACAACAAATACAAAAAAAGGGATAAGGTTAAAATGTATTTGGCAGTGTCAGCAAATCTGATTGTTTTAGGAAAAGCAGTGGCAGATAAAAGTAATACACATACCTAAAATGTCTGTATTGCCTGTACTAAATTTGTTAGCTTGAATGACAGGAAGCTAAGCAGACCGCTCGCAGCGTTGTTGGTTTCCTGTCGCAAATGATAAATGAAAAACTTCAGTCAGCCTCTCATGACAGGAAACCTTGTTTTTTTTGTTGTTGTAACGCATCAAAATGAGATGCAACAAACACAAAAGTACAAACTTTAAAGTCCGTTTAACGTGGATGAATAGGAGCAACTTATTATGGTGTAAAATATTATCAGCAGAATAGGGACTATAATTCTATTTTGCTTATAAACCTAACTAAAGTTCTTAAAATCAATTGCTAAGTGCACAATAGCAGGAAAAAAGACACTTAGATACATCTGCCAACTAATGAGCGGTTGGAACAAACTTACCAAAGTTGTTAGACGAAGGTACCCCTGCAGTTTGCGGTGTCAAAGAGAAGACCGGTAAGACGCTGCTTCACATGTCACTCAGGGTGTGTTCGAACAACACCACAGTATGTGAGCGGAGGAGTGCAAGAGAAGAGGAGCAAAGGGGAGTGATGCATGAAATGTGGTGAAGAAAAACTTACCGAAACCTTTCGAGGTAGGTGGAGGCTGAAGAGGAGTGTGTGTGAACGCAGATGAAAGACAGACTGCAGTGGGGGTGTAAAGCACAGACAAGTAAATGCACAGGTGTTTATAGAAAAAAGGAATACACATTTTAAATTTCCCTTCCAAGGCAAGATTTCAATCAGTTCAAGCTAGCAGCGCAGGTGCACACTTGTATTTAGATCATAATAAGATCATAGACTCACTAAAGGTTAGCTAACTAGAGTTTCCATACAGTTATGATGTCTATAGCTGATCCAAAACAACACAACTAGCTGAGGGTTGTTTTTAAAAAAAAAAAAAAAATCAACTCTCAAAGTTAAGACGTTTCTCGAGCTCTCAATTTACTGGTTTGTCAATGTTCCAACTTTTAGCTATGGTCATGAGGTTTGGAGCATGACTGAAAGAACAAGAGCTCTGATACAAGTGACTGCAATGAGCTTCCTTCGTACGGTGGCCTGGCTCAGGCGGGTGAGGAGCTCCGTCACCCGGGGGGAGCTCAGAGTAGTAATGCTGCTCCTTTTCATTGAAATGAGTCAGTTGCGGTGGTTTGGGCGTCTGATTATACCTCCTGGATGGACACTTCTCTTTGGAGGTTTTCCACTAAGAGATCCTGGGAAAGATTCATAACTCACTAGTGGGATCTTCTCTTTCCTGGGAACGACTTGGGGTCCCTCAGGCCGAGCTGGAAAGTGCAGATGGAGAGAGGAATGTCCAGGACTTGTTGCCTCCACAACCTGACCACATATAAGCTGTAGATGTAGAAGGAGATGGAGTTCTCCAAGTCAAAGCTGAGTATTTTTCTATCAATGAATCAAATAAATACATAAATAAATATGTTTCTTTAATGGCCTTCATCAGATTTTAATACGTTTTAAGGCAAAATATAACATTGCAGCTCCAATTTTTTAAAACAGTCTTCTTATTTATTTTGAACGTAGAAACAAAAAGGAGAACACAGAACAAAAAACCCTCCCACCCCTCCTCGCCCACACCAGATCAGTCATACGCACAAATCAACTAAACATGCATTGACAAGATTTCCACATACAACATAAAAGGCAGCCAAGTGTCCCAAAATCTTTTAACAGAATCCTTCAGGGTATATCTGATTTTTTTTTCTTCTAGATTCATATGATACATCACTTCCCCACTGAACATATGCTGGGTTGTGTGGGTCTTTCCAGTTGCAAAAGACAAGTCTTCTGGCAAGAAGAGAGCCAAAAGCAATCACATCCTTCTCGTACTTGCTGAAGGACGTATCCACAGGGACCGCCCCAAACAGTGCAATGAATGGTGATGGGTGTAGAAGTCTCCTACATATCAAAGAGAAGGTGTCAAAAATAGATTGCCACAAGGTCTGTAGTTTGGGACAGGTCCAGAATGTATGCAGTAGTGTAGCTGGAGTTTGTTTACAATGCTTACATGCAGGGTCCAGGTTGGCTTTGATCTTGGACAACTTCTCTTTGGACCAGCGCAGCCGGTGCACCTGCAGCTCCAATTTTTGGTGCTAACAAAACACACCAAGCTCAAAGGCTGTGCATTGCCTTTGAACCTACTTGGGCACATTCACATCACTGGTCAGGCTGACCTTACAACAAAGAGAGACCGAATTGGTACTGTAACTTTACACTGTACACTTTCGCTCTCACAATAAGTTTACATTTATAGAAGAATTTTCTCACTGTATGCGGTGAAACACATAAAAAGAGGGTGTTGTCTTTGGTGCTGTAGTATCAATTTCAGGTCACGTTCAGTAGCCTTTTAGCAGGAAGTGATAGTTAAAAAGTGACCAGAGATCTTAATCTGTGGTCAGAAGACATTTTTTCTATTCAACGTTACCTAATTAAGACCCTTAGTGCAATGCTTCATGTGCATGGTTTGAGGTTTGCAGCTGCGGAACAGAGGAAACGTGAAGATTGCTTCACAGAGGTTCACACAGTTGGCTGACTTCATTTCATTATTCTCTCACACTCTTACGTTTTTTTTTACAGGTTTGTTCCAAAAAGCAGAACTTCACACTTGCTTTCTAAATGAGTTTTGTCTTCTATTTTTGTGCCTGTTCTTTGCATCTTGGAAAGTGGCTTTTTCTTCTTTAGACCTTTTAGAAACGCTGATGCTCTGAAGTCACATGGGCGTATCTTGCAGAAATTCTCGGCTTTTAAAAACTAATTTAACTGGACACATGGATCATAACTTTGCGTGTAAGTGGAGCTTTATGTATAGATGTCACAATATCAATGCACACAGCATTGACAGAGCAAAGGACTGCAAAGCATCTTATTGTTCTGAACTCCCCTGGCAGCTTAAGATGATAGTGACATACACTTTAAGGTGCTGCCACTTTTGGAGACTAGTTGGTGACTCCAAAACGGGGCAAACTCCTTGTTGCAGTTTCACTACATTCTGAGTGTTTGCAATAAAGTGGCTAGTGAACCGTTTTTTAAGTCACAGCCTAAATTCATTTGCTTTGTTAGATGAGAAGGTGCTATTTATAAGACTGAGTTTGTTGCAACTCCTCCGACTGATCATGTGTTTTGGATGAAAGTTAAAATCTTTTAACAAAAAGAAACGGTCCAGAGAACCTGACTTAACTTTGTTGGATTGTTCTACCTGGATTATTGAGCATGAATCAGGATACTACCAGTGTACACTTTTGAAATGAAAATAGGCAGATTTGGATCAATAAATATGTACAGTATCTACATTGTGGATTTGAGACCTACACATTCATGTTTTCTGATGGGAGAAATCCCATTGGAGTAGAAAATTACACATCGAGTGCTTTTGAAACACGTTCGTAACACTCGAGATCCCTCTGTGATTATTTTGCAAGAAAATTTGTATTTGTGAAAACGTTAGAACTTTAAGCCTCAAAATTAGTAAATCAAGAACAGCTCTACAATGTTTAGAGAAAATTATGAGACTTCCTTCGCTAATGTTTGTCAAATTCAGAATTGAATTCAAAATCCTACTTCTAGCCTACAAAGCCCTCAACATCCTAGCTCCATCTTATATTACAGATCTTATTGTCCCATATTTTCCTAACAGAGCACTTTGCTCTCAGACTGCAGGCTTACTTGCAGTTCCTAGAGTTTCCTAAAGCTGAATGGGAGGAAGATCTTTCAGTTAACAGTCTCCTCTTTAGTGGAACCAACTTCCAGTTTCTGTCTGTGAGGCTGACACATTGTCCAGTTTTAAGACTGGACTTAAGACTTTCCTTTTTGATAAATCCTAGTTAGGGTTGGCGTAGACTACTAGAGGTCAAATTAACCACATTTCTTATCATGAATTGTTACAAATGAAGTTTTCATTTGATACTATTTCTATCTTAACATGTAATTCTTGACCTGCCATTGTGTATCTGTTCCTCTCAAACCCAGCCGGTCGAAGCAGATGACCGCTTGTCCTGAGCCTGGTTCTGCTAAATGCTGCTTCCTCATGAGAGAGTTTTTCCTTTCCACTGTCGCCTTCGTGCTCGCTCAAGATGAGAGTTCTGTGATGAAGTTAAACTCAAAGCAGTCTGCTCCTCAGATAAATAATGTTATGAACTTACTTTTCATATACATAAATGTTTCTGTTCAGTGCCCTGAGATGACTTCAGTTGTGACTTGGCGCTCTATATAAATAAACTGAATTAATGCTGTTAGCCAGCAGTTACAAACCAGTGAAATAGGGTCTTAAAAGTGATCAAAAATAGCAGAACGAGATAAAAGCAGTGTTTAAAAAAACCCCAATTCCATCCAAAGTATAAAATAAAGTTTAATGAGTTGTCACAAGGTGGTCTCATTGAACAAGCTACTGGTTTCACAGAGGTCAAAGGTCAGTGCAGACAGAAAGAAAGTTAAAGACGGGAGTTCATCTAGATTAGGAATGGACTATTGCTGTACTACAACCAACTGGAACCCACAGTAACAGACATTGCCTATAAAATGAAAATCACATTCAGAAACACAAAATTAAAAAAATAAATTAAAACAATAAAACATGGTAGCGTTTAACACCAACACAGACATTGCGCCAAAGTGTGAAAAGTTTCACATTTCATGTAAACTTCCTCTTTCTTGGGGTGTCACACAGGACACATGTGGGTAAATTTAGGTTTTATATATAGGATTCTTCTAGTCAGCACTTTTAAGGCCTTGTATTTACTGGTCATATCTTGTTTGTGTTTATTTTGCAGAAAGTAGGCCAGTGTATAGATCAAATACTTGACCTCAGTGTTTCACAAATTTTACATGGTTACTGCTTACATTTGATGACAGGAAGTGCAAAATCACAAGTGTTTTACCTGTTGACTGTAGCGACACGAAATTAAAATGCACATACAGTAACTATTCAACTACTGGTACTTTCTCATCACCTATCACTCACAAACAGTGGTTTCTAAAGAGGAAAATGAAAATAAAGCACAAGTCACACAAAAAGTCCATGATTCGGATTTGATATCACAGTTTAGTAGTTAAAACCTGAATGAAAAGCTCTACCGACATTTTATTAGGAGGTACTTAACCGTTTTACTATACTACGCAAACATTCACAGGATGCTTATTAGTGTTTTTTGCTTGAATCTGAGGCAGTGACTTGACTACTTGGGTCTTTTAGATTCAGAAGCATGGATTTTGCAAAGCTCAAAGCTGCCACCATCAAAAAACTGCTACAATATTCTTTATAATATGAAAAAACTTTGCTGTAGATTTCATTCTATGCAGATGACACCATGTTCTAGATTGCAAACTAGAAACCCTGCAAAAAAGAAAGAACAATAATCGTGGTCTTGATTGCATCAGCTGACTGGTTTGCAAGTCATTATAGTTCACAGTTAATCTCTACACTATGTTCTTCCACTCACACGGCTTTTAAACTCTAGTAAGGCTACGGCTATAGCGTTAATAAGAATACTGTCCGAACGTGGTGATTTTTTTATTTTGCCGCCTCATACATCGCCATCTTCAATGCGAGCCAGCTGCCTCTCCAGATGCTCAATCCTCTGGTTCTGAGCGAGCACCACGGCCCGTAAAGCCTTCATTTCTGCTAACAACTCTGTCAGCATTTCATCCTACGAGAAGAGAGGAAAAACAACAATCAGGCATGTTTGGTGCTGCAAAGAAAGTCTGAACCGCTTTAGAATTTATTTATTTATTTTTTAAAAACTGAAAGTTTAGCATTCATTAAATGAACACATATTACCCACCACCTTTCATGCCAATGTTTCCTCTTAGTATGTTGAAAAATGACAAGTTATGGCCAATTTGGTACCTGATAAGTGTGTGTAAAATTCCCCATTACGTAATTTTTAGGATGGGTAGTAATACATAATAGGGATGCACAATATTGGATTTTTGGCCGATATCCGATATGTTAAAACTTATTTGGCCCATAACCAATACTTTTTTCCCTAGACCTACTTACAGAGACTACATAGCTTTCTCTGCTGTGGAATTAAAATACTACATTATTCTGCATGGCCTTTGTCATTTTGGCCTGCTACCAGATGCAGATGCCAAAAAGGGGGCTGAAAATTATGCAATACTATGAAAATTATACAATACTATATATATATATATATATATATATATCTTAGATGCAGTGCGTGTTATATCTGTGCGTTATTTTGATGAACTGCCCGCCCGATGTCCGATATTTAACTTTATTGCTAATATCAGCCGATACCGATACAATGCCGATAATATCGTGCATCCCTAATACATAATATAGCCAGGTATGTACTGGATACATACCTTGTACATGCTGAGTAATCTTAAGTATCAGGTAAGTACCTGGTACATACTAGGCAGTAGCATTACTACCAAATCCCTAACCAGGACAATCACTATAAGGAAAAAAAATCACTGTAAATCCACTTTAATTGGTGGTATGTGACTTATCTGTGCTGCTGATTATCCATGCTGCTGATTATATCATGCTGCTGTATTCATTCATACCCATCACTCACTACAGACTCAGGTTCGGGCTGCTGTTTAATATAATGTATTATTTTACATTATTACCCGGTAGTGTTTAGCGTATATCTTAGATCCTGTTAGATCCTGTTTCTTTTTAATACTTTATATTTTTGTTATTTTTGGGTGTAACTGGGAACTTGAGTACATAATTTTGTTCCACCTCATGTACCACATGTGATGTGAATGACAATAAAGAACCTCGAACTTGAACGAATCTCACATTCCCTTATGAGGTACGTACCCAGTAAGTTACAAGAACATACTTGGTCAGTACCAGGTACGTACCCAGGAAATACAAGGTGCACTTGGTACATATCAGGTAAGAACTGGGTAAGTATTATGTGTATTAGTATTACATCAGGTTATATTATGTTTACTGACTATTTTAAAACTACATTATGCACCATATCAAGTTATACCGCGAGATTTCACATGATCTATTAGCACTTGGGAGTATGTGGTGGAAAAAACTCTCAGCTACTTCCAAACAAAAATTGTAGCTCAAACAGACTTTGTGTTCTCAAAAGTTGATTAGCTGTGATGGCTACAGACAACTGTAGCTTTTTGAGTGTTTCATTAAAATGTATCCTCTTGTTAATTCAATATTTTGCTAACAGACATGAACAAACACAAACATACACAGACATATCTAATTACACCATCGCCCCTATTTATGGTGGTGGGTGATAACTAGCATGTCTGACGTAGTGGACGCACCTCTCTCCTTGGCTTTTCCGTATTTCCGTCCATCTCTCTTGCGGCCACTCGTGGTTGTGGCGTCTCTTCTTCCATCTCCTTGGTGACAGAGGTAGGCGTAGATGTGGGAACGGTTGCTACATTCCCTGCTGAAGATGTGGCTCCTCCAGACCCGGAGTCCTGAGAGGTGAGTTTGGGCTTGCTTTTGAGGGTGTCTCTGTGTTTGGATGGAGGAGCCGTGTACCCACCGCTCAAGGAGACTAAGAAAGGTGGAGCGTCCTGCCCAGCGATCCACTCGTCAGCCAACAGAGCCGGCTCTAAACCAGCAGTGTCAGGGTAAAGGTCTCCCTGGAACAGATCTGACTGGAGGAGCAAGATAAAAACAGTCGCTTGCAAGTTTTGTCACGTGATTTTTTTTTTTTTTTTAAATATTCATCAATAAATCATACTTTTAGCAGTCGTGTGGGTGACTTACTTTTCGTGGTACAGTCATTGAAATAGGTTCCACTTTTCTTTCGTGCAGCTTATAAAACCTGTAGATCAACAGGAAATTACCAGTGATGTTCAAAATTAACTGGAAATAAATTCTGCTTCCTTTGTTACTTCCTAAAACAGCTCAAGTTTGTCAAAACCTTCACTCATCCAGAGGTCCATTGTGACTAAGGTAAAAAAACAGATTAGAGTCAACAATGGGGTCTACAAAGAATCCTTTAATTGTTTTTGTGTGGTGAAGGTAGATGCCGTTTTATAGGACTGGTAACGTAACTCTGGAGAAAACAAACGTAGACGAAGAGCATACAACACATTAAACGCCTGTTGATAAACTACCGGTGTTTTACAGCCATCGACAGCAATGGCCTGAACAAGCAAACACCTTGTATAAACGTATACAGACTAGCAGGGATTTGACTCTGGAAAAATGAACAAAACCACCACTTTAAAGAAACAATTAAACACAATGTTATTGTGAATTAAACTAAATTAACATGAAAACTTGAATTTACTGAGCATGCATCAGGAAACACAATGTTAACTAGAGAAATTGTATTTCCTGTGAAAATGCAGTGTGAATGTTTATTGCAGAAGATGAAAAACAGCTGAAATGAGCTAAAAACATTCTGAAATGTAGCTGAAATAGAAAAGCAAGCCTAAGTTAGCAAAAGAAAGCAGAAAGAACATATATTTGCTGAATTTGGTCCAAATAAGCGGAAATTAGCACAAAAATGAGGAAATGAGCTAAAACAGAAGCTTAATTTAGCAAAAGAATAAGAAAGAAATAGCTGAATAGCAACTACCAGAAGGAAGTGAAAAGAACCGAAATGAGCGACAAAAAAAAAAAAGTGGAATTATCAGAAACAGCTAAAATTCGCATCAAAAGAGCTAAATAGTAGCTAAAAGAGCAGAAAAAACTGAAGCTATCAGAAAAAAAGCCAAAAGGAGCACAACAAGCTGAAATTGGCATAAAGAAGTTAATTAGGCTGAAAGTAGCAGAAATTAACATGAAAACTTGAATTTATCTGAAAACAGCTGAAATTTGCTTAAAAATGCTAAAAAGTAGCTGAAAAGTTAGAACAAACTTAAATTTGCATAAGAAAGCAGAAAGAAGAAATGTTTGCTTAATTAGGCTGATAGAAGCAGAAATGAGCAGCAAAAAGTGGAAATTATCTGAAAAAGGCTGAAATTAGCAAAAAACAAAACAAAAAACAAAACACAGTTGAAAAAAACCTTGGCTGAATGCAGAGGTGCGTACCCTGCTGGAGGCCAGGAACACTGCCTTCAGGTCTGGAAACTCAGAGGAGCTGAGTAGGACAAGAAAAGAGCTGGTTGCTGGTATTAAGAGGGCCAAGGCCACATATGCAAAGAGGATCGAGGGTCAGTTCATCTCACAAGACCCTCGGAGCATGTGGAGGGGCATTAAGTGCATAACAGATTATAAAGGAAGGAGTGAACAATGTCCCAAAGACCCATCTCTGCCTGATGCCCTCAACAAGTTCTATGCACGCTTTGAAGGCCCGAACAAACCACCCAGCACCAGACTCACCTCACCACCGGATGAAGGGCGTCTCAGCGTGACCTCAGCAGAAGTAGGGAGTACCTTCAGGAGGATTAATCCGCACAAAGCAACTGGCCCAGACAGCATCCCCGGAAGGGTGTTGGGGGAATGTGCTGATCGGCTCTGTGGGGTGCTGGCAGACATCTTTGGCACCTCGCTTGCCCTGGAGACAGTTCCCACCTGCCTGGGGACTGCCACCGTCATCCCAGTCCCGAGGGGCTCTGCAGTGACTGGTCTGAATGACTATCGGCCAGTGGCCCTCACCCCGATAGTCGCTAAATGCTTCGAGAGACTGGTCATGGCTCACATCAAAACGGCCATCAACATCAACGAGGACCCTCATCAGTACGCATGCCGTGGGAGCCGATCAGCTGAGGATGCGGTCTCCTCTGTGGTCCACACTGCACTCAACCACCTGGAGCAGAAAAACTCTTACGTCCGTATGCTCTTTGTGGACTTCACATCCGCCTTCGGCACCATGATCCCCCAAGCCCTGATGGACAAACTATCCACACTGGGACTGAGCCCCTCCATCTGCGGCTGGGTACTGGACTTTTTAACAAACAGACCACAGTTAGTGAGGATCCACAACCTCTCCTCCTCCACCATAGCCCTCGGCGCTGGCTCTCCTCAGGGATGTGTGTTGAGCCCCCTCCTGTTTACTCTGCTCACATATGATTGTGCAGCTACCCATCCAGGCTGTCACATTGTAAAGTTTGCAGATGATGCAGCGGTGGTGGGATGCATCACAAACAATGATGGGTCCAGCTACGGGCAGGAGGTGGAACACCTGGAGAGCTGGTGCAGAGAGAATAACCTTCACATCAATGTGAAGAAGACAAAGGAGATGATTGTGGACTTCAGAAGGAACAAAACACCTACACCCCCCTGAACATGGGAGGATCTGCGGTGGAAGTGGTCTCCAGCTACAAGTACTTGGGTGTACACATGAATGACGACCTCAGCTGGAGCAACAACACCACCAGCCTGATCAAGAAAGCTCATCAGAGACTCTACTTCCTCAGACGGCTGAGGCGAGCTGGTCTGGGAAGCTCAGTCCTCACCTCCTTCTGCGGGTGTGCAGTGGAGAGCATCCTGTGCTCGAGCATCAATGTGTGGCGTGGAGGCTGCACAGCTGCAGAGAGAAAAGCTTTGCAGAGAGTGGTGAAGGCTGCACAGAAATCTGTTGGAATCAGTCTCCCCACCGTCACAGACATCTACGCCTCCAGATGCAGGAAGAGGGCCACCTGCATCATGGGGGACCCCACCCACCCAGCGCACACACTTTTTGCCCCGCTCCCCTCGGGAAGGAGGTTAAGGAGCGTTGGGTGTGGAACCGCTGGACTGAGGAACAGCTTCTACCCTGAGGCTGTTAGACTCATGAATGTCTGACTAGAGTGGTCGCTGTGAAAGACCATATCGTGTTGCTGCTGATCTGTTTCGTGTTGCTGCTGATCTGTTTCAATGTTGGTGTGTTCATGCGTGCACATCTGCTCACAGAGTCATGTTCATGTTTGTGGTGATGTTCAATGTTTTATGTTATGAGTGCTTAGTGTATATTTAGTTGATGCATTTCTTGGTTCATATCTTAGATGTTATTACTGTTTTTCTTATACATTTTATTGTTGGATGTAACTGGGACCCTGTGTACATAATTTCGCTCCACCACATGTACCACATGAGGTGCGAATGACAATAAAGAAACTCTGACTCTGACTCTGAAAAGTAGCTAAAATTGCAAAATGAAGCTTAAGTTACCAGAAGGAATTGGAGAGGGCATATTTTGCTGAATTCGGCTGAAAAAAGTTTAAATTATTGTAAAAAATATGGAATTAGCTGAAAAAGCTAAAATTAGCATAAAACAGCTAAATAGTAGCTGAAATAGTAGACAAATCTGGAACTTGCATAAATAAACTGAAATGAGCCGAAAGAAGAAGCACAACAATCTTCTAGTTAGCAGAAAGAATCTAAAAAGATCGCAAAATAGCTGTAAAAACAGCTGATATTAGTTGAAAGTAGCTGAAAAAATGTTAAAATTAGCACAAGGACGCTGAAAGAAGCTGAACCAGAACAAAATGTGAAAGGAGCAGTAAAAGGTTTTAAACAGATCTAAAGATCTGAAGGACATAAAATGAGCTCAGTTCATTTTCTATAAGAAAAAAAAGTGTGGAAAAGGCTAAATATAAAAAAATAAAAGTTGCACCGATACCAAAAGTTGAAACTGAATTGTCCTGAACGAGCTGAACGTTTTGATATACGATTTGTTGAAACTACACAAAAATTGTGGAACGAGAAAGATGCTGAAAAATGTACAGAAGAAAAACGGATCACAGTAGTGTGAATGCTTCATAAACACTCACACTATTAAAGGTAAAAGTACCTAATTCAGTGCACTTACCGGGCAATTTCACACTTGTTGACATCCACGCCTCTTTTACAAAGAAAGCCTGCACCCCTCTGAGGCTCCTTGCTGCTGTATAAACTGAGGAAGTGCACGTATGGGGATTCATCCGTCACTTCAAAGTACCTGATGGTGCAGTCGCCCTGAAAATGACATGATCCAAGTGATTTAATCAAACTTGACTGAAATGGTGATGATGCAAGCTGCCTTCAGGCCCAGGCCTCCTTTGCAAGAGATCTGTGATCTCAGTGGGATTTGCCTGGTTAAATAAACTAATAAATGTACACCCTAAACAGCTCTTAGGCGTTCACCTTTCCACAGAGGTAGACCATGTTAGTGTCGGGGTCATAAAAAGGTAGAAGAACTCCATTACTTGTATCCATTTCTTGTATGGCCATTGGCTCTGAGAGATCTTTCTGTTGGACGAAACGAAACAAAAATCATTTGATAAGTAACGAGAAATTGCATTTCCTGCGAAAACTACTTCCTGTTAGGAGAATGAACTTAGGGTTTAAAATTAAATCTGATTCCAGTATGGTTTAATTTCTAAGTATGGTTAGGACTTACTGTGTCCCACAAAGCCAGCTGCCTCTCGCTCATACGGCTGAAGCCTGTGGTCAAGATTTTTCCATCCGAAAGGAAGACGGCTCTCATGGGCCTCGTACCATCATGGACCTTCTCTCTCACCTGGAAGAACGATATCAGACTGAGAAAACAAGCACTGTAGGCGAACATTTTATGGAAAGGTCAACTTTCAAAAGACGTATTTTATGTTTGCTAACCTTCAGGACAGTGCCTCTGCGGGGGTCGATGATGCGCAGGGCCTTGTCCTTGCACACCGTACAGACGGCGCTGCCATCCTTGTTCCAGCTGACACTGTAGATCAGGTCGGGGTGGGCGTCACCGAGCTGGTACACTAGCTCCCCCGTGCCCACGTTCCAAACACAAATCACATTATCGCAACCTGGACAGAGGAGGAGGAGCTATATAATGTAGTCCGCAACAGAAACAGAAAGAGGAGTGGAACGTGAGCCATTCAAAGCATAAAGACACAGAACGGGGGAGCTAATTACTTTCAACTCGACTCGGTGCAAATATGGGCATCGTTTTTTACAGCACAGCCTATTCCAAGGAAGTGTTATGACTGGGGGTTTGCATTTAGCTGTGTCAGCAGGAAGCAGAAGAATTCATAGTGGATCAGTAAAGTATGTAGAAGTCAGAAGTTGTCTCTAAACAGGGTTAGGTTAAAGGAGGGATTATGATGTTATCGTTTTCAAATTGTCGCAGTTTGGCTGTCTACATAAAAATGCATGGGTGGCATTTCAAGAAATTTTCATTCTGAAATCAAAAAGTACAGTTAGAGGGTTCCTAAAATGTTTTTTTTTGTGTAGATGCAAGGCTGAAACATAAATTATTCCCATGTGGACGACCCTGGATAAACATTTGTATATAGTTATCTTGCCAACTGCTTTGTTAATAATAGCTTTGTTTGTATATTTTTTGTTTCAGCTGAATCTCTAAAAAATACTAAGGATACCACAGTTTGACACATTAAATGGTACTCTAGGACCAAGAGCTCTTTCCTGAAGAACTTAGATGAGAATTTGTGTTGACACACAACATACAACTTATAAAAAAAAAAATCTTCAATTGGATATTTAGCTAGCTAAAAACTAAAGCTAGAAACCCGCTTAAGTGTTAGCTAGCTAGCAGGTTTCTTAGAAAACACAACATATTTGTTTGCTATTTCAAACCTTTAAAACCTTTGTTTGCTCAAATCTAACATTTTAAACATCTTAGCAATAACTACAATAAAATTTAATGTAATTTCAGTGGACAAAAGGAAGCTCCCTAAAAGTACTCGCTAGCTAGCAATTGCTAGCTAGTAACTGCCATGCTAACAACCTGTTACAAAGACGCAATTTGTTTCCATTTTTTAGTTGAAATAATGAAAAGCAACAACAGTTTGACATTTAACATGAAGTTTTAGCATCGATGTGATTCCCAAAGAGCTTTCAGATGAAAACTTCGTATCAGCTGAAGGATGATGTTAATCTCAAAAAGTTGCTCTTCTGTGCTGGGCCATAACCCACGACAAGAGGCCTTCCTCTTTTCCTTCTTGCTGCGTTTGCATTTCGCACCGCGCTTAACGGACACGCTCTGTCCTCGTTTCCTGCATTTGGCTGATTTCCGTAGCAGCGTTACAGCGCCACACACAGGCCTGGCATAGCTACTACAGCATTTGGGTCGTTTCTGTGTTTATGAAACGGCGCTGCTGTGTTTACAAGTATATTTCCAGAAACGACAAATAAAAAGGCTGTTTGCAGAAAAAAACTGTTTCTGTGTGGACAAGGTGTGTCACTTCCACTGTACCAGTTATCGTGTACGCTGTTTGGTACACAGCTAAAATACACCTAAAAATGTAGATAAATCTGTTAAAACTTTTGTTTCTTTTAGAAAACTCAAATTTGACACTTTTCATATGATCAGCCAACTCAAGACTTTTTCTAGATAATATTTTATGTACATACTGCCCATCATAGGTTAGTGTATAACCCAACAAGAACGCAACAAATGATTGTACCTGCAGTTAGGAGGATGTTGAAGGCACTGGGATGCCACGCCAGGATTCCCACTCTTTTACTGTGACCCTCAAGGGTCACGATGGCGGCAGTCATCGGGGCTGCCAGCCCACCGTCTGGAATCTGCCACACCTTCAAACAACATACTCTAATTAAAACCTTTGACCTGTTAATAATTCTACATAAAGCTGCAGATAATAGTGGCAACAAACTGAGTGTTTAGAGTTTCTGTGCAGGGTTTGAGCTGCTTTGTTCCATTTTGGGCTCTGATGAAAACCACACAAAGCTCTCTGACAATTTTAAGTATGATTATTTTAAGTGGGGTCCTGTGGAAAGGTTGTGAATATCTTACCTGCTGTATATAACTCTCTGAAGGACCTCCATTTAGAGAAACAATTTAATTTTAACTTTACAGTCCGAGCTGTTAGCTCATCGCAATCTTCTATTGGATTACTGAGATTTTTCTGCAGAAATATGATGAAAGTCTTGCAGGAAGTGCGCTATGCTGCACAGGAAGTGCTACAGCTAGCAGCTGTTATTGCAATGTGATGGTTTCCAAAACAGTGTTAACCTCTAACATGTTTTCAGATCAGAGTTGTTTTAAGACTTGTCCACTTTAGCCGTGCTAGCCGTTAGCTCGTCGGTCCAGTCAGAGCTAAACCCCCGAGTCTCCAAACTGAGCTCGTTCAGAGAGCTACCAACAACAGGTAAGATATTTATTCTTCATAACTGTCTTTTCAAACCAAACTAACAAAGATCTGAATTTTCCCCTGTAACAGAGAACCCTGGAATACCATACCATACCATACCAATTTATTTATAAAGTAAATAAATATGGGGTAAATAAATGAATAAACTCATAAGCCTGCACAGTTCATTGTTGCAGGTTTTTTTTAAATTGGCAAAATAATTTTTTTTTTTCTTTACAATAATCCAGTTTTCTGTGATAGACTTGCCACCTGGATATGGGAACCAGTGAGCCCCGCAACCCGAAAAAGAAAAAGCGAGTAAAGATAATGGATGGACGGACGGAATCCAGTCTTTTCTTTTGTCTCAAAATATAAAAATATCAATAAATGTTAACAATCATCGGATGTTTTTAGTTTTATAATTTCACACCTATTGGTCAGAAAATCCCCCATTAACTAAGTGGCCCGTGGGCCACCAGGTGATCATGACAATAGTAGCAGGTTTTGCGGCTCTGGACACGTTTAATTTAGTGAACGAAAGGAAAGAACTGGCTCTTTTGATCCTAAAGGTTGCAGACCCCCTGATCTAGTGTAAAACAATATTTTGCTTCCAAGAGTTACTGGTAATGTTAATATCAACTACACTTCCAGTTAGTTTCAAACTAAAGCTTTATTTTATTCATTTTTTTCAAAAGAAACAAAACAAATTCATTAAAAATTAAAAATAAACATTGAATGAAAAGGGTGCAGAACGAAGAAGAAAATTATTATAATATCCACCCCTTATTTAAAAAGATATAAAATAAACAGGCTTGAACAATCCCCAAAATGAAAACAAAAAATATTTGGCATCCTTCACATGGCACTATACTTTCCTAACAATTTTAACTTAATCATCTTTTTAAACATATAAATTGTTTTAGAAATGTTTATGGTGATATCAAGGCAATTCCACATTCTATTCCCTGAAAGACACGCAGCTCCTTCACACTAGTTCTAAATGGAGGTTTTACAAACATGTACATTCCCTTAAGGTTATAATCACTCTCTTTTTTTAACTAATTTTAATTGAATATTTGTGGGTAATATTTTTTATGAGCTTTATATGTGACTTGTAAAATACTATATTCAACCAAATCATAACATTTTAATAATTTCAACTGATAAAACAATATATTTGTTGGGTGACCACAGCACTTCCTACTAATATTTCTTATAGCTCTTTTCTGTAAAATAAAAATATGATTTGTAATTGTTTTGCATGCTTTTCCCCAAACTTCAATACGATAGATTAAATATGGAACAATCATTACATTATACAATATATACAAAGCTTTGTCATTCAAAAACTCCTTTACTTTATTTTGCTATTTTTATTTTTAAGTAATTTACATGAGGTTTCCATGTCAGCTTCTCATCAATAACAACACCCAATTTTTTTATTTAATTAACTATGAATTTCAATACTGTCAATTTTAAATGGGACTTGAATAATTTTCTTTCTATTACTAAATATCATGCAGTTTGTTTTTTTTCCAAATTTAACGATAACTTACTACGTTGGGACCAAGTTTGTATTTTTACAAATTCTGCCTGTATCATCTCTAATATTCAATATCTTCACCCGAACAAAAAAAAAAAGTGGTCTCATCTGCAAATAAAACACACTCCAAAAGCCCTGACACATCAATCACATCTTTCACATACAAAAGAAACAACTTTGGTCCCAACACAGAGCCCTGAGGAACTCCACATCCATTAACACAAAATTATGATCTTTCATTGTTTACCTGCACAAACTGTCTCCTGTTATTCAAATAACTGGATGTCCACTGTAGTGCTAATCCTCTAATGCCATATTTAATCAGTTTTTCAATTTGAATAATTTAGAGCGCATACGTTTTGCAGCGCTCTGACCACAGCTACGTTCATCTGACCAGAGCTGTGAACTTTTACAGACAGAAAAACAACTCCACTACATATTTTTAGATAAGACCAGACTGAACCTGCCTTCACTGTGCAGTCCTCTGAGGCACTTGCGATGATGTTGTCATCATGAGGGGACCACTGGATGTCCAGAACGGGTGCAGCGTGGCCGCAGACTGTGGGGCAGGACTGGTCGATTCTGCCGCTCTGTGCAAGAAAGAAAAAAAGCTCAGCTGATCGGACTTAAGAGGCTTCATGAGGCGTCTGGCGCTAAAATCACATCCGCCCACGCTCGATCCGAATGTAAAGCAGGAAGTGGAACCTTGGTGATGGGAACGACGAGGAAAGCGCCTCCCCCTCCCGCTTCGACGACGACGGCAACAAACTTGGGGTTGACCGCGGAGAGGGGGCCGTCCCACGTCACCCGGGACACTCGGACGTCGTCCAGGCAGTGCTCGGCCTTCCAGGCCTGCGCGAACACGTGGCGGAATTTACTCTGCCTGACCACACCTCGACGGAACGACATGCCTGTCGAGAAATTAACATAAAACTCTGCTTAAACAACAACACACTGTTAGAATAAAAAAAGAAAAGTGGCCAAACATTTACACCGCAACATCTGTAAATGAGTGAAACTAACAAGAACAACTGACAGGAGACTGACTAATTAATGGATGAATTTAAAGGTTGCTGAAGAATTTTAAATATGATTTAAATCAGGGTTTTTAGGAAGAAATTACTAAAAGAAGAATAAAACAGGAAAAAAAAATGGATTATGAACAATTCCAATATAATGTAGCTTATTGTATAAATAAGGCCTATTCAACTAAACTGCTCTGTGGGCATCAGTTCAGCTCAGGGGCCGAACATCCAGCAATTAAAATCATTATGGAAAATGGACTCTACAAACCGGATTCCAAAAAAGTTGGGACACTAAACAAATTGTGAATAAAAACTGAATGCAATGATGTGGAGATGGCAAATGTCAATATTTTATTCGTAATATAACATAGATGACAAATCAAAAGTTTAATCTGAGTAAATGTAACATTTTAAAGGAAAAATATGTTGATTCAAAATTTCACAGTGTCAACAAATCCCAAAAAAGTTGGGACAAGTAGCAATAAGTGGCTGGAAATAGGAAATTGTGCATATAACGAACAGCTGGAAGACCAATTAACACTAATTAGGTTAATTGACAACATGATTGGGTATAAAAAGAGCTCCTCAGTGTGTCAGTGTCTCTCAGAAGCCAAGATGGTAAGAGGATCACCAATTCCACCATTGTTGCGCAGAAAGATAGTGCAACAATACCAGAATGGTGTTACCCAGCGTAAAATAGCAAAGACTTTTAAGTTATCATCATCAACCGTGCATAACATCATCAAAAGATTCAGAGAATCTGGAACAATCGCTGTGCGTAAGGGTCAAGGCCGTAAAACTCTACTGGATGCTCGTGATCTCCGGGCCCTTAAACGTCACTGCACCTCAAACAGGAATGCCACTGTCAAGGAAATAACAGAATGGGCTCAGGAATACTTCCAGAAAGCATTGTCAGTGAACACAATCCACTGTGCCATCCGCCGTTGCCAGCTGAAACTCTACAGTGCAAAGAGGAAGCCATTTCTAAGCAAGCTCCACAAGCTCAGACGTTTGCACTGGGCCAGGGGTCATTTAAAATGGAGTGTGGCAAAATGGAAGACTGTTCTGTGGTCAGATGAGTCACGATTTGAAGTTCTTTATGGAACACTGGGACGCCATGTCATCCAGACCAGAGAGGACAAGGATAGCCCAAGTTGTTATCAACGCTCCATTCAGAAGCCTGCATCACTGATGGTATGGGGTTGCATGAGCGCTTGTGGCATGGGCAGCTTGCATGTCTGGAAAGGCACCATTAATGCAGAGAACTATGTTCAGGTTCTAGAACAACATATGCTCCCATCTAGACGTCATCTCTTTCAGGGAAGACCCTGCATTTTTCAACACGATAATGCCAGACCACATTCTGCAGGAATCACAACATCATGGCTACGTAGGAGAAGGATCCGGGTACTGAAATGGCCAGCCTGCAGTCCAGATCTTTCACCTATAGAGAACATTTGGCGCATCATAAAGAGGAAGGTGTGACAAAGAAGGCCCAAGACGATTGAACAGTTAGAGGCCTGTATTAGACATGAATGGGAGAGCATTCCTATTTCTAAACTTGAGAAACTGGTCTCCTCTGTCCCCAGACGTCTGTTGAATGTTGTAAGAAGAAGGGGGGATGCCACACAGTGGTACAAATGGACTTGTCCCAACTTTTTTGGGATTTGTTGACACCATGAAATTTGGAAACAACAGATTTTTCCCTTAAAATGATACATTCTCTCAGTTTAAACTTTTGATCTGTGATTTGTGTTCTATTCTGAATAAAATATTAGATGTTGGCACCTCCACATCATTGCATTCAGTTTTTATTCACAATTTGTTTAGTGTCCCAACTTTTTTGGAATCCGGTTTGTACTTATATAGCTCCTTTCTATCCTATCAAGATACTCAAAGTGCATATTATGTCAATAAACTAGGGATGCATAATATTTGATTTTTGGCCGATATCCGATATGCTAAAACTTATTTGGCCGATAATCGATAACCGATACAATACCAATATATTTTTCCCTAGACTGACTTACAGAGACTACATATCTTTCTCTGCTGTGGAATTACAACACTACATTATTCTACATGGTCTTTGTTAATTTGACCTGCTACCAAATGCAGATGCCAAAAAGGGGACTGAAAATGATGTAACACTTCAACTTGGATTATGTTTAATGTCAAATGTATTCATATTTACTCTCTCTAACACAATGACAACACTCGAACAGTGTAAATTTGTTAATTTTCGCAAATCTAAACTCAACAGTGCGCGTGAAGTCATAACGTTGTACATCTGCATGCATCCTTGTCACACAAAAATAGTGCCTTTATATACATATATATACATATATCTATATATATATATGTATATATATATGCATATATACATATATATACATACACATATATATATATGTGTATGTATGTATGTATATGTATTTATGTATATGTATGTATATATAAATAAACAAAACCTTTCATACCAATGAGTTATTTTGATGGAATGGCTGATGTCCAATATTTAACTATCGCAAATATCGGCCGATACCATGCCGATAATATCGTGCATCCCTAAAATAAACCAAGTATTACAATGATCTGTTACCCTTTAAATGTGTTTATTTTATGGCAATGGATCATAAATGCAATGAGCAGAACCCAACCCCCACCTCCCAATAAATAAATAAATAAATAAATAAATAAATAAAAATTGGTGGGCCGGACTGCAGTCACCCGCGGGCCGTAAGTGTCTCACGGGTCATCAGTTGAATAGCCCTGGTATAAAATGTTCATACTTCAGTACTTCTGTAAAATACCCCAACAAACTTATTAATTCAATAAATGATCAATAAACAGCTTTATGGAAAACATGTTGCTTAAAATATCAGTTCCCCAAAAGTGTAAGGTTATATGTCATGTAGGGCTGCACAACACATCAAAAATGTAACAAATATGGAAATATAATACCAGTATTGCAATAAAATATTTGACTAATTCAGCAGAATCTTACTGCTCACCCAGTTTAGATGATAATGACCGAAATTATAAAACAAAGAGAAGCGAGGAAATAAATTAATTTTTCTGTCTGTTAGCGAAATATCCCATGAACAATTGTATGGACTTTAAAGAAACTCTTAGATGCATGTTTACTGCTGAACTAACCCAATTCAAGATGGCCACCACAGCTAATCAAACCATCAAACACAAAAAAGGCTATAATTCGGCTAATTTGACTGATTCGGAGCTACAATTTGGTGCGGTAGTAGCTGCGAGTCATCCCCAACACATAATCCGAGCAACAACAGATCATGTGAGAATTTTGTTTGAAACTTTGGCATTAACCGTTGGGAGTCAACTGTGTCTGTTAGCAAAATATCTCACGAATCATTGGAGTGATTTACACAAAACTCCCAGGAAGTAATCAGTGGATGTCCATCATTGGAGCCAACCTGATTCCAGAAGGTCGCCGCAGCCCATCGCACTTCGCAAACACACAAATTCCTACAGCTCGGCCACTTTTACAAACGATGAGCTAAAACTTGGTGCGACAGTAGGTGTGAGTCATCCCCACTAAACCCTGAGCACTAACAGATGCAGGCTTTGTGGTTTGCACGCCACCTTCAAGAAACACTTTCATTTAATTTGCTTTAGAACTATTATTTATAAATATATTTTAAGTTACTTAAAGCCCGTCAAATGCATATGAAATAAATACATTTGCATTTATTTCAAAGAACACCCCTCCTTGTTTTGTAGGCTGAAAAAAACAGTCAAATCAGCATGCAAATTCCTTCATGCTGGGACTTTGTCCTGAAAAGTACAGGACTCAGTCAGTGGACCAAAAAAAAAAAAAAAGGGCATGAAACCAAAACACACCGAGGCTGAGGAGGAAGAAGGGGGTTGGGCAGTAACTCTATCTACTTAAAGCTGCACAATTCTCTGTGCAAACTGTACATGAGCAGGTATGAGGAGTGGAACCTATCACTTGACAGCAAGAATGTAGATACACACAGGAAAGCCCAAACGTCCTACAGTATTTCACGTCCGTGAACACGTCCCAAGCATCCCGCTAACAGCCTCAGTCAGTTTTTGCTCATCATTTTTCTTTGTCTGCTGCTCGCTCGGCCGAAAAGTAAGTGCCGTACAGGCATGAGCAACAAAAGATGGGCGTTTCGACCCACAGAGAGTCGTTTAAAGGAAGCGAGCTCCTTTCGAGGACAACAGCAGCGAGCATACCTGGTTTATAAGCGACCTCCCCGAACTGGAGAACGGATCACCGAAGAGTCCACTCCGCGACAGGAGGCCAATAAAATAATCCGCCGCAAGGAGCAAATAACTTAATCCCCCTCCCGTGACCAGGCACGCGACCACGCAGACCTGTTATAAAATATGTTCAGTAAAAAAATATATATATATATATTGCGTGTAGAACAATTTTATTAATAATGAATTTGACTAATTACATACGTTCTACTCGCTGTCAAAGTGACGGAACATATCTACGATGATAGAGGAGGCAATTACCCGCTGAGGGGAGTTCTGCTGGCGGTGTTGGAGCGGGTAAGCGATGCAGACTGTTTTTAACCCTAAACGCCCCCAGCTCAACCCCCTCACTTCTTTTCCTAACGCCTGTTTTGGACAGAGCGAAATCCCAGACACTTCCGCTCATGGACCGTTTTAACGGATATTACTGCGCATGCTCGAATTCAGTATCGTGCGATGCATTGTGGTCTAGATATGTTTATCCCCACTTCCGGTTCGTTTGTGTGTGTATATATATATACAGAGCCCTGTAAAGAGAGAGTTGCGACACTCTTTGAACTCGCCGATACGCGGTCACGTGGTTCATGCAGCTCCCCATAGTTCCAAACAGCTCATCGCTGTCAGTCAGTTTGAGCGGCTGCTGGCGCAACATAACACAAAAATCGAGTTTTCTTACTTTACCTGTGTCTTTCAGTAATTGCTGAGCAGTAACGAACTGATTACTTAACTGATTACTGATTATTTCACAAACTATGCATTTTATCAAAGCATTTTTAGAAGCGGCTGATACATTTATCATTAAATTTTAGAAGGAAACGAGACTGCAAACACATATTTGTTAGAAAAAAATGTATATGCAATACAATGATCAATATAGCCATGTCAGTGTTTTATAACGTTACACACGATAAATAAAAGATCAGAGTAACTCCTGTTATAAAGCTGTTTCTGATGTTCTCTGCAGGATAATGCTCCACCTTGTCCTCCATGCAGTTCAGATCTGTTCCAGTTTACCTCAGATCATCTGGATGAATTATTGATTTCTATAGAAGATATTAATTCAACCTTTATTTAAACAGGTTTGTCCCATTGAGCCATGAGGACTCATTTACAAGAGAGACTGAATATAATTGTTGTATTTGTTTTTTTTTATGGCAACTAAGTACCTGATAACTGAGTTGATTGTAGCCTGACAACTATTGTAAAACTGTAATTCATTGATTAAAATGTTAATTTAAATGAAACTGTTTCTAGTTAAAATCATAACAGATGACAAAATAAGTGTTAACTGTGCAAAAATAAATTTCCAAACAATTTATTATAAAATATGTAAAATGTAAAGCAAGCTTTAATAAAGTACTTTTACTACTATTTATACTGTTTATTAATGACATCATCTGAAGTCAGCAGGAGCACCATCATCATCATCACAACAACACAAAGTGAGAGCTGTAAATTTAATCTGTACAAACATTTTCAATCAGGGCTCAAAATGTTTAACTGTCAAAGAAATGTGCAAGAAAATAAACTAATGTCACTCTACAGACACATTTAGAGAGAGGACAGTTTACAGAGACACAGTGAGGACGAGTGAGACTGAAGGAGGTTCAACCAGAACCAGATGAGAAGAACAGCAGAACTTCCACTGACCAGTGATCTGACCAGTGACCTGACCAGTGATCACACATGTTGTTCTAAATTAAACTTTGGTACGAACAGTGTTAAATAATTCCTGTCATATTTTTATTGAACAATAATCTTCATTCTAACAGTGACGTTGTAATTTCAGAGACTGAGGAAGAAACAGAAATGAGGCGAGTGAGATGAGGGAAAGATGAAAATGTGTCCTCAGAGGACGGGGACATCAATCAATCAATCAACCTTTATTTATACAGGTAAATCCCATTGAGCCTCGAGGACTCATTTACAAGAGAGACCTGATTTCAACAAAGAAAGATGACAACAATGGACAACAGCAACAACAATAAGCAGTTATAAAAACTCATACTACAGTTTTTTTTTGTTTGTTTTTTTTTTTTAACAAATAGGATGGCTAAAAGGAAAAAGGTAACAAAACAAAAAAACAGCTAGATTCCAAGACAAATGTATAAAACTAAAAACAGGAACATGTCTGCATTGGTCCCTGCCAGGAGTCCAACAGATTCTTAAAGACACTTAGAGAGGTCAAGGTCAAGGTCAAGGACATGTCAGGATCTGATGATCCAGGATCAACAGGACCAGGAGGATGGATCAACAGGCAGTCAGGGAACAGAGATGAACAACCTGAGGAACAATTACAACACAAAATACATAAGCAGGACAGAAGAAACTCACAGACAAGAAAATTAACTCAGTCCTGTGAAGAAAAATGTTAATGGAAAATAAATTGGCATATTTTTACAAAAGATCAGATGAAGACAACTGGCATGAAGAAGAACTTCCAGCTCCATCTCAATGTACCTGTGATAGTTTAATAAGTGTTTTGTTATTGTCCTACAGTTTATTGATGCTGATATATTCTTGTAATAATTCTTATTTCTTGTTCTGTCTTGAAAGAGTCTCATCTCAACTTGACCCATGATTACCAAACACTAAACTAGTAATATAAAACTAATTTAAATTAACAGTCCTGCAGTAAATACTGCAGTAAATAACTGCAGTAAATAACTTTGTGAAGGTTATGGTGTTAAAGTAATTTTATTCAAACATCTTGATTAAGCTGTTATTGATTAATAGAAGACAGAAAATGAGATCTTGTACCTTTGTGATACTTTGAATGCAACATTCAGTTCATGAAGTCATTCTCCTCTGGTTTACCTGGAAAACATGAAAAAATTGACTCATCTCCACAATCACGTTTTTCTTTAATGATAATGTCACAATTTATGCTGCAGTCTTTGACAAATGATCTATAACTTTAACTAAATGACGTCAGTCTTGTTGTCATGTTGTCATCATTCTTTGTTAAATCAGGTCTCTCTTGTAAATGAGTCCTGGAGGCTCAATGGGATTTACCTGTAGAAATAAAAGTTGAATGAATCTCTCAGGAAAAAAAGGACAAATATTTTCTAGTTGAGTTCAGTAACTGGAATTACCATAAATTTAAAAAAGACCACCTTTCAAAATGTAAGCAGTAATAGATATTTTAAAACGCTGAATTAGAAATAGACCCGTTTAAACCGTCATGTTGCAGAGCAGCTGCAGTTAAAACAACTAGCAATTTAACATGTTTCATTAACTAAAACTGGAGACATGAAGTATTAATGTTGATAAATTGAGGTACAGAACAGTCAGATAACGCTTCACAATGGAGAAAAAGTGTCGTATTTGCATCAACTTACCGGGAAAACACGGAGAATGAACTACGTTCAATGCTGAACCCGCTGCTGTTTGGAACTCTTTGCCGCTTCATGACCCACGTGACTTCCGCATTCCATTCTTTCTATGGGAGTCTATGGGAGTGTCGCAACTTTCTCTTTACAGGGCTCTGTATATATATATATATATATATATATTTTTACTATCACTGACTATAGCCTTGTTATCCAAGAAAACCTTATTGGAAACTATTATTAAGTTTGGTGTTTCCTATATGCGTTCACTTTAATCCACGGTTCGTATTTTAATTAGAAAATTTACCATATCTACCAGAAGTAGCAACGAATGTATTTAAACGTCATGGTGCTTGACTTTACGCATGCGCACTGCTAACACGGCACAGTTTCATGAAAAATACAAGTGAGGTTCTTAAACTTAGAAATTAAGACAAGTTTCTTTTGAATGCTGTGAATAAAAGGTAGCTCCGGTTATTTTTTTTTTCTAGCAAGACAACTATGAGCAACAATATTTTCCCAGTATAATGTATCTTCTTCCTCGTCTTCACAAGCATTCTGGCGCCCTCTTGTGTTAAACAACAAATCAAATATACATGCGACACAAGAAGACATACATCTTCTGTAATAACAGCTACGTTCAACAGGTGGCTCCGTGGCGCAATGGATAGCGCATTGGACTTCTAGGCTTAAGCGAAGGGATTCAAAGGTTGTGGGTTCGAGTCCCACCGGAGTCGACTTTTTGGTTACGGTCGGCATGAAATGGAAAGCGCATGTTGTGAATTCGAGTCCCATGAGAGTCGTGTTTTTTGGATAACGCGAGGACGTTACAAGTTGTACCCTTACTGATCTCTGTACACTTTTTACTTTTATAGTTATTAGAAGGTATTAGTTATTATAATGTTCCCAGTGCTATAAAATAAATTTCATATTTAATGGAATGCCATTTTGCTGAACGGCATCTTAATCCGTTGAATTTATACACAATATAAAGATAATGTAAAAAAATAAGACAGTCAAAAAAAAAATCACAGCTTTAGACGGAACAAGCGTAAAGAATAACCGGCTCGACCAGAGAAGGGTTCCGCGGCAGAGTTTCCGCACGACAGTTTATCGCGTTGCACACCGGGTGTATCTAGCTAACGTTAGGCTAGTCAGATGTAGCCGACTAGCTAAAGATAACTGCTATCATACGTACGCAGTAGTACAATGAACATCACAAACACGATTAATGAGACACATAGTGACTGTATAATTTATGGTGCCATTCTATTTTACACAGACTTCCACGTCTATTGTTGAGTTATAAAAAACAGCTGTCCAGTTTTGGTTAGTTAGCTGTGTGCTACCATCTTCAGTAGCGTATGGGTGTCCCGAGTTAGCCGTGACTTCACTGCCTGTCTGGTTTCCTCATCTGGCATTTTGGACACGTCAAGGTAAACATTAGCCACCAGCGACTTTTAAAGCTAGTTAGTAAACAAATAAGTATTCAGCTGTGTTCGTTAACTGCGCTGCCTTTTCTTGTCACCTGGATAACTTCGAGCAAACATTGTCACTTTATGTTACTTGACTTTAGCTTAGCGAGTAGTTCTTGTCGCAGTTCTAAGTTTATCCACAGGCAGTGTCTGTGTGGGTTTAGCTCCTGCTGTCAGGCTCGTTAATTTGTTCAAAAACTTTCTCGAAGCTATGCTGTCCCTGTGTGTTTATGTGTTGCCAGACTTGCTATATCGATTTTAAGGCGAACATTTGTCACATTTCACCAAAAATATAATCAAATATACACTTTTAAGTCCCTCAAGTGTCAGTAAACCGATACTAAATGAAGGTGGTAGCCTCTATTATGTATTTAAATGACCTGAAAGTTTCTTTTTAATGAATAAAACGAGTTTGTGTGGAACTGTTGTCTTAACTGTGATTGTGTATTGATTCCTCAGTTAACCTTTGACCCCACATTCTGCATTCAAAGATCATCTTGAGCAACCAGGAACCTTTTACACAAAGAAAACACGACGAGTGGATTTATTGTAATAGAGCTCAACGACGTTCCCATTAATAAGAGTCACTTTTTGCTCAGTCCAATGCTAAATCAACGCGGAAGGGGTTTGATAAATATCATAAAGTACAGCTAGAATAAAAACGAATAGGCTTTTTAAAGTTTTAACGTCAACATTTCATTTATTGTTCAAATGTAGTTGACAACCTGGTTGACAGATTTGAGTAAAAAAACTTAAATAAAAAAGAGAAGTGAAATGTGCAAGCAGACAAACTTTGTCAAGTTGCCAGACACCCCCCCCCCCCAACCACCACCAATACAAAAAAAAAAGAACTAACACTTAAGAAGATGTAGGTCAGCGCTTTTTTTTTTTGGCTCCAAAAGGAAGAAAATTCTCTCGAGGTTTCGGCAATGTTTATATCTGCAGAATGTTTTTATGTACATGAAACAATGTTTTTTGTAGTTAGTATTTTTTGATCAAACTTAAATCAGAAATGTAAACAAATGATACATTTTCCCTCCTTTTACCGTTCCTCAGAGCGGTAGCTTGACTGTTGAGGGAGTGTGATGTCAGAAGCGAAGAACCCGGCCCCTGCTGGCGACACGTACAAAGGATGGGTCTTCAAGTGGACGAACTACATCAAGGGTTACCAGCGACGGTGGTTCGTGCTGAGCAATGGGCTGTTGTCGTACTACAGGTACGGTTTCCTGTAAAACACGGACGACCCAGACGGGTGATTGTGCTTTGTGTACGACGACAACAAAAACAATATCAGGTTTACTCTCCTCTTGTTCCACTCCATCAATCAATGAACCTCCTCCTACAGTGCTACCATATTTGTCAGATTAAAGTAGATTTATTGCGCAACAATCCCCTCACTGATGGCACAGTGACGCTAAATAACGTAAAGAGAAAAAAGTGACGCTAACAGAATTTTTAAACATTGTGCTTACAACAATTTCATTGGTGGTCGGCCACGAGCCGGCCCATCACTTCTGACAAAAGTGTTTGCTTTTGCTTTAGCCTAGCAAGGAGTTGGCTTCAGTTTTTTTGGTGACAGAGCCAAAGAGTACAGCTCAAGCGCTGGCTCCCGATTACAACACTAGAACCTGTTTGGTGAAAAAAAAAAAAAACGCCCTCTGTGTTTGGTTGGCCTGAGTCCAACAGCTCGTTCTTTGAAATCTAAAACGTCTTGTTTTTGTCCTTTCTTTCAGTTTGACTCAGCCTTAAGATGGGTGAGTTCATCACCGGTTAAGTTGTCAAAGGTTAAAATATTTGTTGTTAATGACTAGAGGAAAATTTGGCTGAGTGGGTCCCGATCAGCCTGACGAGGTCTCGGACAGGCTCTGCTGCAGGTCGGGTTGTACTTGTACGACTTACGAGTCCCACACGTCGTCTGGACTTCAGTAATTCCACTATGTTCATATAAAATGGCACCTTTGCTGCATGGCTCCAAGGATCTGGAGCTCTTTAGATAGACTTTATTTGTCTCTGATTAAAATGACACATTAAATTGTAAAAAAACAAAAAACAAAGAAAGATGCAGTGCATACTCTGGTAAAATGGGAGTTAATATCAACTTGAAGCATGTTGCAACCATAGTTAATGAGGTTATGCATGCGATGCTGAGCTAAAATATTTGTGGGGCGGACATTAATTTCCAGAAAATTAGTACTATGACTGCCTCACATTTTCTGTGAAAACCCAGCCCCACTCATATATACACACACACACACACACACACACACACACACACACACACACACACACACACACACACACACACACACACACACACACACACACACACACACACACAAATAAAGAAATATATATATATATTATGTGTGTGTGTGCGCAAAGTTGTTTCTGTTTTCTCCCTCCCACTGGTCGATGTTGTGTCTTGTGATAAACAGTCCAGTCTAACTATTATTATTTGTATTTACAATATATTTTATATACAGATATAGTTATTTATATAATATATTATTTGTTTAAAAAAAGTCCTATTATGTTAGTGGACATATACTGTTCTTTCACTGTCCTCTGTTCCTCTCAGTTTGCTGTTCTGGTCCCCTCTGCTGTAAATGGGTGTAAAAACAGAATATCTCCACTGTTGGTCTCAGCAGGTTGCGCTTCAGCTGTTTCTCGGTCTGAGCTCACATCAGGTCAAGCGTTACTGGTCATATCAAGGCGCTAAAGCCTGCCGAATGTGTCCACTGGGCAGTAAATCGGACGCCCCAAATGAACCGGCCTGTTCGGAAAACTAGCCGCATGTTCGGATCCACTTGATGAACGTGGGTCGTCGAACGGTACTGCCCCATAACAGTGAATAAGTAAAAAAACTGAGGATGGATCACTAAAAGTCATTTAAAATTCCACGTTAAATGCACAGAACAAATCGATACACAGCAAGCTCAGTCGTTTACATTATTTATTAGGAGGAACTACTTTGTGGGGGAATAAATTTTATGTTCTAGGGCTCTGCCCCATGGACCGGCCGCTACTGCGTCTGGTTCGTATGTCTCCTCCCAAGCAATGACAGCGATGTGTTTAAGTAGCTTCAAAACACAGAAAGCAGAACTTTATGAAACTGAGCTCTCCGGGCCTGAACTGTTTTCGAGTCCAACTGGGCATCCAGGCTTCCTAAAGGTCGTCAGGCTTCACCTTGTGAGATTCTCTAATGTAAAAGCAGAACCATAGAAAAATCAGAACTCTGATTTCTTAGTTTTTTAAATCCCTGCAGTCTTGAAAAAGGTAGAATTAGGTTGGAGCATAATATGGATTAAACTGCATTTTTAGACGTTATTCCCTGTTGCATTTGCTAAAAACTGTTCAAACAAGGAGAATTTATATATTTTTGTGTCGTCACGATGTCTCATTTTTTTAAACCACATTTAACCTCTACATTAAACCGAGTTAAACAGAATTTTATGTGTTAATAGGTTAAAATATTAGTGCACACAAGGTAAGTTTTATCTGCGACTGGGTTGGTTTTTGAGTTGCTTTATAAAACCCTGTAGCTTAAATCCTTTGAATATGTTGATGTGATGCTACACCGTTAACTGCTTCCTGTGGTCGTGTGTCTTATAGGTGGGGTTCTCATCCATCGAGCTGGGGGCTAGTACCGGTTCTGGGATCATTTGGAACTGGGCCGCATAGAAAAACTGACAAAATTCTATTTTTATTTTTTTTTATTTTTATATATGCGTTAGTCTATGGTGTTTTATTTTGAAAATCAATCACTTCTGTCTGCGCAGTATTAGCGCTTGACTCAGTCGTGATTTGTTTTAATGCAAAAAAAAAATGCAATTATTAATGTTATGAAATAATAATCAGTATAAAATATATTTAAATTCTAGATGGAATAACTAAATTTTAAATGATGCGCTTTATTGTGTTATGTGCGTGACTTCCCCTCACACTCGCATCCCTGCGGCATAAAACCGGTTTGTGATGCAACAAAGATTGTGTTATAAGATAAAGTTATATAACCGCAGATTATTAATCTGTGACATGAAGTCAGTAAAAATGTACAAACATTTATAGTAAATGGAAGTCTGGAAATTAATGGAATATAAAAACAGGCCGTCTGAGCACAACGGATCGACACCAAAACACCGTTCCACCTCATCTAAGCAGCAGCAAAGCCTCGGGTCTACAACTGAAACGTTCCAGTTTAATGTGTAAAGTCGCAGCTGTTGTGTTTAAGGACTTGAAAAATAAACAAACTTAACTCCAACTCCTCTGACGGTCAGGACCCAGGCAGAGATGGGTCACACATGCCGGGGCACGATCAACTTGGCCACAGCAACCATCACGGTGGACGACGCCTGCAACTTCGTCATCTCTAACGGGGGGGCTCAGACGTACCACCTGAAGGCCAGCTGTGAGGTGGAGCGGCAGAAGTGGATCACCGCCCTGGAGCTGGCTAAAGCCAAAGCTGTCCGCATGCAGGCCGAGTCTGGTAAATGAGACAAAATAAAATATAACTAGAAGAATTGCATTTCCTGTGAAAATGCAGCGCGAATGCTTATTGCTCAAGAACTTGCCAAAAAAAAACCCCGACTGGAATTAGCTAAAAACATGCTGAAATGTAGCTAAAATGGAAGAACAAGCCCAAGTTAGCGGAAGAAAGCAGAAAGAACACGTATTTGCTGAATTTTGTTTAAATAAGCTGAAATGAGCACAAAAATTAGGAAATTAGCTAAAAAAGTTGAAATTAGCAAAGAAAAAGCTGAAAAGTACCGGTAGCTAAAAAAAGCAGAAAGAACCTTAAACAACCAGAAGGAAATGGAAGGAGCTGAAATGAGCTGAAAAAAGTGGAATTAGCTGAAAAAGCTAAATTTAGCACAAAACAGTTGACATAGCAGAAAAAGCTGAAACTAGCAGAAATATTCTGAAAGGAGCATAACAAACTAAAATTAGCAGAAAGAGGTTAATTAGGCTGAAATTAGCTGAAATATACCACAAAAAAATTGGAATTTATCCGAGAACAGCTGAAATTAGCTAAAAATGCTGAAAAGATAGAGTGAGCTTAAATTAGCAGAAAAAAAGCAGAAAGAGCACATTTGCTGCAAGAAGCAGAAATGATCACAATGAAGTGGAACTTATCTGAAAAAAGGTGAAATGAGCAAAAATAAACAACAAACAGCTGAAAAGTAGCTAAAAAAGTAGAAAGAAGCTTAAATTACCAGAAGGAAATGGAAAGAGCACATATTTGCTGAATTAGGTTGAAAAAACCCTGAAATAATTCCAAAAAATGTGGAATTAGCTGAAAAAGCTAAAATGATCATAAAACAGCTAAATAGTAGCTGAAACTTGCAGAAATGAGCTTAAAGGGGCATAAGCTGAAATGAGCAGAAATAAGTTAGAAGAAGCACAAAACAGCTGAATTAGCTGAAAGTAGCAGATGTTTTTTTTATTTGCTGAAAGAAGCTGAACCTGAGCAAAGTGTGAAAGGAGCAGTAAAAGGTTGTAAACACATCTAAACATGTGAAGGATGGAAAATGAGCTAAATTCACTTCCTATGAGGAAAAAAAATTGGCAGAAAAGGCTAAATATTTCAGAACGCTAAAGTTGCACCAGTATAAAAGTCCAAGCAGGATTGTCCTGAAAGAGCTGAATGTTTTGATATAATTTGTTGAAATAGCACAAAAATTGTGGAACGATGCTGAAAAACAGAAGAACAAACAGAAGAACAATGCATCACAATAGTGTGAACGCTTCACAAGTTTTCACACTATAAATAAAACCCAGATGTATTTTGAGTTCTTGTTTTGTGAACTGTCTGTACTGAAATACTTTTGTATGTACTTTATCCAAATAAACGTGTTTGTGGGTTTAATACGTTTTCATCTGGTGTATTTTTGTTGTCGTCAGACGATTCAGGCGACGACTTCTCTTCATCGCCCCTCCCGGCGGCGCCCTGTCAGGGTGGGTGCTCGCAGAACCCCGAGGTCCACTCTACTCTCAGAACCCTGGGCAGCAAAGTGGAGGATCTCAGCACCTGCAACGATCTGATCTCGAAGCACGGCTCTGCCCTCCAGAGGTCAGCCTTACACCGTGCGTCGCTTCACAGGAAGCAGCCGAACACACGACTCGCCCTCCTCTCGTGCTTCAAGTATTCAGGCTGTATAATAATCACTGTAATGATGAAAAAGTACATTTAACAACATTTTGATGTAGTTTTAGCAGCTTCAACTCTAAAATGCTGAGTTTTGGTTTGTTTTTCTACTTAAACAAAAACATAAACAGCCCATAAATATTGTAAATGACCAGAAAATGATGAATTTCTTTCATAAAGTGAACAAATGTGATGCTTGTTGTAACTCGTGTTGTACACTGCTGGTTCCAACTCGTCAGGTCTTTGTCCGAACTGGACAGTTTACGTCTGAACACGGAGGCCGGGGAGAAGATTCGCCAGGTGACGGAAAGAGCCACGCTGTTCCGCATCACCTCCAACGCCATGATTAACGTAGGTACCCCCCCCCCCCCCCCCCCCCCCCCCCC